AAATGACTATGCCACATCTCTACTTAAAATCCTCCAATGGATCATCAAGATGAATCCAAACTTCTCAACATAGTTTAAATGATTTCCTGTGATCTGGCCCTTGCCAGCATGCCAAGTATTGTCTTCCACCATTTCTTTGAAATTTAAACTCCAGTTATTCAAACTTATAATTTCTCCCTAAATAATTCATACTTTTAGATATCATTATCTTTTTACGTGATACTCCTTGGCCTGGATCACTGTGCAACTGCTTCCACTCCCCATAAAATGTTTTAGGGCTCAGTTAGTACCCTATCTCTCTCTTCCCATAGAATCTGCCTTAGTGTTTACTACTTCCTAAAGAATTTATTTATTTGTACAGCACAGAATATGTTACTCAAGGGTAGGAACTGTATTCATCTTCATTGATTCAGTGCAGCATCTGATATATAGTTGGCATTTAATAAATGTGTCTTATAAGAACTAATCTTACCAGAGCAGGTAGTAAGGATTAGCTTCCCAGGCCTTTCTTCTTTTCCTTTTTAATTTAGATTGCCTGATTTAAATGCAATCTTTGAATATTGCTCCTGAAGGTAAATGACTATATTCTTGTATTCTATTGAGATTGCATTTTCAGCTATATATAAGAAGTCTATATTTGTTTTTCTTTTGTGAATTGTTTATAACCTTTGCTTCTTTTTATATTGTGGCTTTAATGCTTTTCTTTTTATTAGAAAAATTAATACATGTTAATTGACCTGCTAGAGTAATAAGAAGCATTAAAAGTAGCAGAGAAAATATATTGGGTATATGAGAATACATGTGGAAAAATAGAACAACTATAGTCTTATTATAAAAACAAAATTTCACCTATTTGATTTGAGAAGTTGGTGCTGAGACCTCAGAGATAATAGAGAATGAGCAACGACCATGGGCAGGAGAAGGTAGAATTTTCCAGCCTAATCTGAGAACCAAAGTTCTGAAACAGTAAACCTCATAAAGCTTAATGTGATTTTTTTTTTAATGGCGATACTGTAAAGACACATGAGAAAACGAAGAAGAATGACTCATGTCATTAAGACCCAAACTAAAAGTGAGAATGGCCGCTAGGTGCCTTTGACAGGAGTATTCAGAAAGGCAAAAAGCAACATGAGTCTGGAGTGAATTTGAAGGCCAGGGTGGAGATTTATGAAAGAGAAGAAAGATATCAGCCAACTGCAAAGGGATGGAACTAAAGAACAGAAATGAAGCAGAAGATACTGAATGGGTTAAGATAAAGGAAAGTTCTTTCTGATTTCTGGACCACAGATTAGTAACAATGTAGCTCTATTAAAATCTGGAAAAATTAGACCAACTGGGGGAAGAACTTTCTGAACTGATAGAATGCTTGAGTTGCAATAAACCAAAAACATATTTTTAATTACTTACACAGTACTATAACTTGACCTTTGATTAACATTGATTCAGACCATAGATCTTTTGGTTACTTGTTTTATTAATAATAGACAGAATAAAAGTCTAGATAGCAGACTGATTATAAAAATTGGCATTTCCAAGGTAATTATTTATGGAAATTGTTCTCCTAAGTAGTTGAATAATTCTATCACTGTTTGTTACATTATAGATTTGCTTAACATATAATCTTTAGAGTTTATAGCACTAGTCAATTTAGCCCGGTGTTCTTGGTATTTTTCTTTTACCTTGTGATGTCTTCACAATGCATACCAATCTTTTACTTCTGTCTTCAAACCTTTTATTCTATTACCTCTCAACCAGTCCTATTCTCAGTCAATTTTCTCCTTCTAACTTCAATGAAAAAAATTAGCGCATCAGGAGAGAATTATCTCAAAATCCCATTCCGTACCTACAAACTTACCTCTGCTTTCACTTGTCCCTCTTCCCCTTTCATCCTATTTGAGGAAGAAGATTTTCTCTCTTTGTTTTAGACTGGGTGCTTTTTTGCTAGTCTGGGTGCCATCCTCTCAGGATTTCTAAGGACCCTACTATTTTATTTATTTATTTGTTTGTTTGTTTGTTTGTTTGTTTAAGAGACAGGGTCCAGCTCTGTCACCGGAGGCTAGAGTGCAACGGCACGATCATACCTTGCTGCAGCCTTGAACTCCTAGACTCAAGCAATCCTCCTGCCTCAGCCTCCTGAAATGCTGGGATTACAGGCATGAGCCAACATGCCTGGCCCCTGCTGTATTATCTATTATTCCTTTTTTTTTTTGTGTATTTCTGCTCACTTCCTTTTTACTTGTACATCATCCAGGGCCTACAAACATGGTCAAGAATCTTTCATGTATTCAGTCAACAAATATTTACTGAGTATTTACCATGTGCTAGGAACTGATGGAGAAAATCAACATGGTCCTTCACCTCATGATCCCTGCCCTCCATGCCCTCTAATTCCATATCCTCTTTCTTAGCTATTGCCCTTTCTTTCTCCTGGATCTCAGAGCCAAACTGCCTTTAGAATCAGTCCACATTCACTGTGGTCAGCTTTCCCATAGTCCTTTTCTCCATGATACTCCGTAATTGGCTCTCGCTGTAACCATGCCACACTCTTTCCAAGGCCTCCCATCACCCTTGTATTTCCAAAGACAATGAATTTCTTTGTCTTTATCTTCCTTGTGCATTTTGTGACATATGATAAGCTAAACTTTTCATTCTTTTAGAAACTCTTTCTTCTGCCTCTGTGATACACACTTTCTCAAGGATTCATTTCTCCTTTCTCTGATTATTTCTTCACAGCCTCCCTTCTGGCGTCTTCCTTTACTATATTGTTTCAATATTGGTGTGCTCCAGGGCTTTGAATCATCTTATTCTAGACATGACTGCTTGGTTTTTCTTAATTTATTTAGATAGAACTATTTAGAATTTGGTGGTAATTCCTAGTTATCCCTTTGTCTCTAAAACTCTGCTGATCTTCACATACAAATAACTAATAGCCTTCCAAACTACAGCTTCCCTAGGCTGCTAAAGGTACTACTACCTTTAATACAACACGTCCAAAATAGAACTCAGCATCTTTTCCAGTAACCTCTTCTCTTTTCTGTATCCAATAGCTTGGTGATTAGCACTGAAATATTATTGTTATCTAAGCAAAAAGAAAATCATTCTAGATCTTTCTGTCTCTTTTATAAACTTAGCCTCCATATCAAGTATATCACAAAGCTCTTCAATTTTAAGATGCTTAATATCTTTTAACTCCATTCTGCCCTCTCTATTCTCATGCGTATTGACTTATTTTCCATTCTCCTCACTCTTTACCTGGTTTACTGCACACTGCAGTAGCATCCTAAATTGTCACAAATCCACTCTCCAAGCTGCTAAGGAAACTTTACAAAAACATAAATCTGATGGTGTCGCACCCCTGATTTAAAACTCTTATAGTTCCCTATAGCTTTCATGATAAAGTGGAAACTCACTCACTTAGCTCATACAGCCCTGTGCGTACTGGCTCTGTTATCACTTGGCCTCATCTGATAATTTTTTGCCAACATTCATTGATTTAAGCTATGGGTTCACTTGTAGTTACTAAAGCATTTCCCAAAGTGTGTTCAGCAGAATGCTAGTATTTCAGGAATGGAAGACTTTCTGTGATTAAAGAAGTTTGGGAAATGCTGGGGTCCAACAGAGCTAAAGATGTTCTTACTGAACATCTATACAGAACCTCTAACATACAAATATGTATTGTTCTTCTTTTACATGGGAATAATGTATGCAACAGTACTCCAGTTTATAGAAGCACAAAACCAGTTTTTGTCCTAAGTGAGGAGTTTCTCCAGGGTTTCATGTTTCAAGGAAATGCTGTTGGAAAGGATGTAGTATGCATTTTGATGGCTCTGGGCTTTCATGCAACTTTCGCCACTCTGAAATGTCCACACGTGATTTTCATCCAGCTAACTCAACTCCTGCTTGTGCCTTAGGGCCACTCCCCTGGGAGCTGACCTCTCTGTTTGACTTCAGTGTCTCTCTTTTCTGAGATTGCTAGTCTGCAATATATACATCTCTATCACAGCAATTAGCTCTCTATCCTCTAACCATCTCCCTCATTAGACTGTAAGTTCCTTGAAGGCAAGGACTTGTCTTAGAACTTCATTTAGTTCTTGCACAGCATTTAGGTGCTTGGCAGATAAGTGTTAAATGCAGGAATGAAAGATCGTACAAAGTTAAATCCAAATTTTCATAAAATGTTGCATTGGTATCATAAACATTAATCAAGTCTATTTATATTAGCAGAAGTATCAAAGTTTCATTTGCAGATACTGGTAATGCCACATCTACATTACCAGTACACGGAATTAGGGGAATTAAATAGCAATAGCACTACAGTAAGTAATAGTGAACTTGGATTTCTGTCTTGGTGTGTGTGTATACACACACACACACACACACACACACACACACACACGTATATATATACATCTGTAATCACGTGTAAGTTTAAGCATACATTTCACTTTCTCTAGCACTAGGACAAAAATACCAAAATACCTGCTTATATGATCAAATAATATAATGTTTATGAAAGTGTTTTGAAATGTATCAGAATGATAAAAATGTCATGTTATTATTAATCAATTATTTGCTTGCATGCAGACAAAGTTTTGGCACTTTTAAAAAGCAAAGAACTGGTAGCTATGCCCTACCACTTCTACAAATTCTACTGTGGGATGCTTTAAAGGAAACATCTTGGCAAAATAGGAAAAAAAGAAAAGCACACAACATTTTTCAAACCTATTACAGGATATAATTTTACAAGCTGTAAGACAGTTTTATGCTTTCAAATTAAACTCTCGGTTTCAAAAGAAAATGACAGAGAACCATTTGGCTCTTCAATCAGTCACGTCTAATCCAAATCACCTATAATCTAAGCCAAAGAAATGACTGTATCAATTTTTCACAGAACTTGTGAGTAGCTAAAATTACCGACAGGGTCTTCCTCCTGATCAGGTGCATGTATGCTTTGGTAGCATGATTAAAACCCATCCTGCATTAGTACTATAAAAACTCACCTTGTTTCTGAATCCTTGACAGGGTGAATGATTTCCATTTCCCATCGTTATGGTTTTGATCGCTGACAACGGAAGCCATTCCTGAACCCAGATCATAACTGACTTTTATATGTCCATCAGTGAGCTCCACACTCATGAAATCTTTCTGTTAATAGAGTAAAAATACACCAGTGATTATACACAGAGAAATATATGAGCATTCACTTTTTTTGTGGGGTCATAATAGGGCCTTTAGGCTAAATTGCTGAATATGTTGCTCTGCTATAAAAATAATATTTTGAAAATAGAATTGGTGTTTCTATTTTGTGAATTTTTGTTGGTGTGATGTTATAGTGCAAATGGTCATGACCAAATTTCTAGGACACATCCATTTATCACAGTGGTAAAAAGTGGGTTCCTTTGAAAACATATTAAGTCAACCAAAAGATATGTTCCCTGAAAGAATTTGCTAAGAAATATTGACCTGAAAAAAATGAAGCCAAAGAATATTTAGAGTCACCTTTCAACTTATGCATCTAGAAGATGATTAAGGAAGTAGTTTTGCTGTTACGTAATTCCACACTTGGAAAATCTTTACTGGATGCTTCTTTTAAAGGATTACATGGAGAGTTATATTGAAAATAAATAGTAATTAAATTGTGTATGTGATTAAAGTTATCAATGAAAATATACAAGCACTATTTATATCACCCATTCTTGACTGTTACACAGCCATATCAGAATTTTTTTTAACAATAATTGATAATCTGACCAATAATTGGTAATTGTATTGGAAGTCTATATAAAAGAAGCAAACACATTTTCAATCATGGAAGAACTGCTGCATGTCTGATCTTTACCAGATCTCGTGTGGCAAGATACATCAGGAGAGCACTTGAAGAAAATGTCCTGAATTTGAACATGACAGTGGAGATGTTCGGGTACCAGCGAAGGGGGCGGCCAACCAATGCATAACCTTCACCATCAAACTGAATAGTCCCTTCACTATCTTCCACCTGAGGACTGAAAAGAGAGACATTTCCCACGAATCAGAGCATGTCTACTTGGTTTGTCATTATTCAATGCATCGAGGTATCCTCTGGGACTGAACTGAAAACTATTGTAGGGCAGGGACAATCCCAGACACATCTTCAATTGTTCTACTTCTCTCTACCCTCACTGCCACCATCCTAGACTGAATAACCACCATCTCTCACCTTTCATTAGGTATTCAATGATTAGGTCATTGATGTTTTAAATATTTTATGATTTACAGAAGTACTTGATAGTCATATTGATGTTTAAGTGGGTCTTAGTGGTATTTGTACAAAGTGGTGGGGTTTCTGGATGGGCTGAGAGTGCATTATTACATTTCCTATGTACATAACATAATGGAATATAGGCCTTTACACTCCAAATACTTGCCTTCTAACAGGTTTTTCTAGAACAAATTCAATTCAGACAATGAAGGATGCCTGTATTTATTTTTATATATATATATATTTTTTTTTTTTTTTTTTTTTTTTGAGACAGAGTCTCACTGTGTTGCCCAGGCTAGAGTGCCGTGGCGTCATCCTAGCTCACAGCAACCTCAAACTCCTGGGCTCAAGCGATCCTTCTGCCTCAGCCTCCCGAGTAGCTGGGACTACAGGCATGCGCCACCATGCCTGGCTAATTTTTTCTATATATTTTTAGTTGTCCAATTAATTTCTTTCTAATTTTAGTAGAGACAGGGTCTCGCTCTTGCTCAGGCTGGTTTCGAACTCCTGAGCTCAAACAATCCGCCCGCCTCAGCCTCCCAGAGAGCTAGGATTACAGGCGTGAGCCACCACGCCTGGCCTTTATTTATATTTTTATCTGTCTTCTTCACTAGAATATGAGCTCTATGACGCCATCTAGGGATTATGGGTCAGTCCCTATGTCAGCCGCAAACTTAGAACCTGGTATAGTATTTGGCTCATAGAATCTAGTAAACGTTTGTAGGATGAAACAGATTTTAGTATAGCAAATTGCCTCACAGAGAATGTATGTTCAATCAATACTGGTTGAATAATTAATGAATATTTAAGATAAGTCTTGTGAATATAACCTTTAAAATATTTTTTTCAAATATGATGCTCTATCTATTTACCTATCAATCATCAATCTAGCTCGTGCTGTTTTAGAGTAAGTCTCAACTGTGGGGCTTTCTGTGGGAAAGAGTTGTGTGCTGGGAGTAGCTAAACATAGAGATGTAGATCAGCCCACTTCACTTAGCTGATACTAGCCCAAACAAGGTAAGTCTGGCTTTGAATTGGTGACTTTGGGATGAGCAAAAAAAATGAGTCTTTCCAGGTATACTTTATAATATTTCAACATCTAACATTATACTAGAGTTTTCCTATTAATTTTGAATATGTTTACCAAAAAAGTAAATACCTCTTTATAACTAATAAATGCTAAGCTTCTTAACCTGCATTTTCCTTCTCTTTTGAACCTTGATGTTTGATCAAGTTAATAAGGATTAACTATGCTATTTTTGAACAGCCATGTTCTTCCATATGTAATTTGTTAACTATAGAACTAGATGTATTTTGGGGCTTAGTCTGTTAAAATTTCATCATCATTTCAATGTTCAGCTAAATGCATTTTACTTGTAGTAGTTTTGTCTAATTTAATCTTAATGCAAATTTTAGAAGTTTAAGAAAAATAAAATACACTTTAAAAAATATCTTTGACAGATTGCTCTTTTTAAAACATAATGACAATTATATCCCTTCTACTGACTACTGGATAAATGCAAATTTCTAAAGCTGCCATTCTGTCTTATATAAAATTTTCCCAGTCAACCTCTTAGCTTCATCTTTTACATCTTCCCCATAAAAATCATTCCTATTCTTTAACTGGAATGATTTTGGTCTTTATGTTAAAATGTGATAAATGTTTTCCTGAAAAGAAAACAAAAACAAACACAAACCAGGAGTTCTGTAAAAACTATTCTTACAAATAACAAGGCTTATGAGAAAATCGTATTGGGGCAGGTCACTCAAAACTTATACAACTACGGAATCAGAGCACTCACAAAGACAATAACAATCCTGATAAAAATATTAGCACAGGTCAAAAAGATACGTTAAAAAAATTAAAAATATAGAATTATTGTGGTAAACATAGAACTTCACCTTAAAAGGAAAAAGTGAAGGTAGTTTGATGACAAGGGTTGTAAGGAAGGATGGACACTATCCAGTGACGGAAATGTGGCAAAAATGCACCACGACGGAAGAGAACTGGGCAACGAACGTGCCATCTTGATTTGGCCAACATGGCGTGCTTGGCCAAAGCAAGCTGAAGGCAAGGCATGGGTGAATGGACACTGTGCAGGCTGTGCTGTGGGCACAGTACCATCAAGCTTGGTGTCTTCACTGCCTTGGTTTACTTTGCATTCAGCTACCCTTACTCATTGGTGTAAAACGTGACTATGCTAGAAGAACTGTGTATGAATCTATGTGGCCACTACATCTTACCCACATCATTCTCTCATTTGTCAGTCCTGGATGAGCGGATTTACACTTGTTCTTTTCTAAAAACGCTCTTGCTTTCCAACACTCCTCCCTTTGCTCTCACTGGTCTCTGGGACAGATCTAGCCACATTCCACCTGCTATCTCTTCTCATTGGACTCACGTCCCACATCAAGGCCCACCTCAAATGTTACCTCATCCATGAAGCAGATCTTGATGCCCTTAACCCAATGTGAATAATCATAGTATACCTTGAGTGTATCTTTTCAAAGGGAATTTCATTATGTCTTACACTTTGACTATTTTTAGTATTTGTCTTTTCCTTCCTTTTCCAAGCCAGGTGTCTCAGTGGTTGGGACTAAGTTGTATTCATGCTAATATCAGGAAGTTGTAAGCAAGAATCTCTGTAACCTACAAAACAACCTATGAATATATAGGAATACTATTATATTAATTAGCATGATACTTTACATGTTGAAAGTGCAAGACTTTTGCAGAATTGACAATTAGTGATGTTACAGTCTTACCTGGCATGCACTGCTGACTGGATATTTAAATGCTTAAGATGTTTTGTTGATAATAGGCTTTTGAAAATCCTACTTAGAAATTTAGGAAAGAAATGCCTAGGGAAAATTAATGTTTGTTTGTGAGTAGCAGAATATTAATGTGGACTTCATCGTCTTTGGTGTGTTGAAAGAATTTTACAGACAACCTTCCATATTAGATTTTATTGAAGATTATTAACAAAACTATTTTAAACTGTGAATGAGCCAGGCTTTCAAATTATATTGATGATTACATACTGCTAAAAAGAAAGAGATGGTTGGAAGTTAAAACTTTTAGAGAGAGACTATTTTAGGGTTACCTCTATGAAACTCTAGAGATGTTGAGAATTAAATGTGAAAATGTACTATGCTACATTAATGAGGACTTTGGGCCCTGAAAATGTGTGTGTGCCCCTTAAATTGGAAAACAAATACAAACCTCTGAGCAACTGATGGTTTTTTCTTTTTTTTTAAATTGTGGCAAAAAATTTTCTTTTAATTTCAGAATATTACGTACACACATTTTGGTTACATGAATTACTTTTGTATAGTTTGAGTAAAAGTTATAAGTGTGTCCATCACCCAGATAGTGTGCATTGTACCTGCTAGGTGTGAATTTACCCATCCCCCTCTTCCCCACCACCTGGTTGATTTCCATTGAATTTTACTACCGTATGTAACATGAGTGTTGATCATTTAGTTCCAATTTTAACAGCAAGTACATGTGGTGTTTCTTTTTCCATGCTTGTGATACTTCACTTAGGAGGATGGTCTCCAGTTCCATCCAGGTTGTTACTAACTGATGGTTTTTGACCTGCTATGTATGGCACATTAAGCTTCCAGGTATTTAATTTATATATAGTAGTTTTAATTTAATATAGTTCAAATTGTTTTAGGTTCAGGTGATTAGTGGGCTCTAAGATTTTTAATGCTGAAAAACTTCTATTTCCAGATAATTGCTTTACTTCCTCTATTCATTTGTATATAAAAATATTTATTCTCTATATACGCTTTGTGTGCTAGATATGTTAGATACATTTTATATATAAAATATTCTCTGTAGATGCTTTGGATGCTAGGATATAAATATTTTTAAATTTCTATTTGTTCTAACCTCTACCTATAATTGCCGATATGTGTTATAGCACTTTCTCCTGGCTTATCTTGGCCTCTTGTTCTCCTTCTCTCCTTAAGCAGAATCTTCAAATCCCAAAGGTTTCCACTTGAACCACTTGGAGGACCCTATGTATCTGTTTTAAAATCCTGGAGGAGATAAAGCCTGGGCTACGGTTCTATATTTTGTTATAAACACAAGTGGAATGAAGCCATGCTCAGTGAGGCCTGAGGCTTAATCAGTTTGGTGAGAAATCTCTTTAGGAAAAAAGAAATTATGACTACAAGCTACCCACAGACACACAAAATCCCCTGGTCACGAAGGGACGTTGGGGTGGAAAGAAATAGTAGTCTTAACTAATTGTGGTTAAAATATCACCTTTGCAAATTTTATGAAAACATATGACTATGAAAATGTACTGCTGCGGGACTTCCCAGGACCTGTGAAGATGCCTGCACCAATGGGCAGAGACTTGAAGTTTCATTAGCTTCGTGGTAAATCCACCTCTGAGCATGATCATCTCAAACCTGCCCCACAACACCCACATGCTAACAAAACATTGCACAATGAAATGGAAGCTTTTCTGATGCACAGGACAGACGTTGGGAGAGTTCTCATCTCAACTAACCTGACAGTACATCCTTTGCAATCACCTTCTTTTTCTCGGAAATTCCACAAACCTATAGGTTTATTGTCAAAGTATGTTTCTCCCATACAGCCAGTGAATGTGATCACACGTACAGCATCAGCCTTCTGTAGAAAGAAGTATTGGATTTGTTAGAATTTAGAATTTCCCAAATAATTCTGCAGAACATCCATGAGAGTTATTATCATCAGAAGCCAGAGCTCAAATATTGCATCAATGGATCCTGGTTATTTTTTGCTATACAAGTTTATCTCCATTAGTAAATAAATACTTCCTAGTTTCTGACCACAGGTGAGCTACTGACCTTTTCTGTGATTCCTTTTTTTAATCTGTAACATGGGATTACTGTGGGAATAAAATTAGACAATTTATTTATGGCACCAAGCTCAGTGTCTGGCACAGAGAAAGTATTTAACACGTTAATTGCCATGTGAGTTGTATTAACTCACGCTAGTTTTGAGCCCGGGGCCTCACGAAGCATATGTAACTCACACGTCTCTTTATCTTGGGAGTTGCGAGAACTACTTTTCAAGTTGCATATAACTCACGCACAGAAAACAATAAAAAAATAACAAATTTTTCATTAAATTTGAAAGGATCAATTTGTTTTTGAAGTTTTTATTTTATTTTTGTAATAAAACACCATGACCCCAGGGAAATTTTTTTTTTTTTCTACTGTGGCAGCAAATGTGTTAATAAACCCTAGTGCTCCTACACCATACACCATTTTCTTTGGGCAAATCTAGGCCACATATACACTAAGATTTCTCCTCCGAGATCAGGAGAAAGGGTACATACTGATGACCTAAAAGAGATTTTAAAAGCATGCGTATCAATTAGCCTATGACAATGCTGCATTACATTTTTCATTTCCATTCACAGCCTAGCAGGTTTCCAGTTCAAGAGAATGAAGAAAAACAAAGGAATTTTGTAAGAGAAGGGATCACGTTGGTGTTGTTTGCAGGTACACACAGTACAAAGCCTCAAGTCTAACGGGCTCGAAAAATATCTGTTGAATTCCAATCCTGGTGTCATTATCACTGGGAAAGGTCTTAGGCTTGGTATATGCCACGATCACAAAGGAGGGGAATGACTGAGTCCACTATAGAGAACCTTGTTGTAATTTAAACAACTGTGTTTCTTTTGGCATTGACAGATTACAATTAAATACAGTCATGCACCACATAATGACCAATTTCATATATAACAGTGGTCCCATCAGATTGTAATATCGTATTTTTACTGTACCTTTTCTATGTTTAGGTATGTTTAGATACACAAATACTTATCATTATGTCACAATCACCTACAGTATTTAGTACAGTAACGTGTTGTTCAGGTGTGCAGCCTAGGAGCAATAGGTTATACCATATAGCCCAGGTGTGCAGTAGGCCATACCTTCTAGGTTTGTGTACACCCTATGATGTTTGCACAACAATGAAATTGCCCAGTGACGTGTTTCTCAGAACACATCCCTGTCATTGAGCGATGCATGACTGTATTATATTCTGGTGCCTATCACTTTAGAAACTGTGCCAAAGCTAATACACATTTACTTGAATTATGTGGGAAAAGCAGTAGATTGACATGTTTGGGTTTTAGAACAAATGTAAGATGGTCATTGAAGAGTTAAAAGTTTGTAGTTGTAATTTTCGGTTAAACCCATCAACATGTGCCTCTTCCCATTGCTGCACAGTCACGTAGGAAGCATGTTGATCAGAACCCCTGACATTTACGAGTCAGAGTGGTCCTTGGAATGCTCCGTCATCAGTTAGAGCCTCTTAATTTTCTAGGGGTTGATTATCCTACTTGTGAATTCTACTTGCTTTTCGCTTCTCCTCACATCCTGAAAAGCTATACTTGAGATATTTTCCTGCTCATTTGAATTCTCATCAGCAAGTTCATTTAGTTACTTGTTTTCAGCTTTCAGTTCATATTCTGGTGTGGCAGGAGCCTTGAAACTCTTGGCCAAAATTATTTCTTAAGATTTTCTATAGTGTTCATTTGTCTATGTTTTCTTTTTTTCTGAGACTGACAGAAAGTTGTTTTGTGAGAATTACATCTGCATAATAATTATTATGTAAGGTACAATTTAAGGTGCGACTACTATATCTTAGGCTTTTGTCATATATTTTATACACATAAACTCACTATTCATTGTGTCTGTAAAGCAAGGTGATAAGAATGGAGACTCTTGTGCCTGTTAACCTGTGTTCAAAACCCAGCTCTGTACTAATTACTGTATGACCTTGGTCAAGACATTTAAATTTTCTCTTCCTCAGACTCCCTAACTATAAAATGAGGAGAATCTTAGTATCTACTTCGCTATGATCTGTGTGTTTGTTTCCCTCCACCCTGGCCCAAATTCATATGTTAAAATCCTACCCCTAAAAGTGATAGTATTAGGGCATGGGGCATTTGAGGGGCGATGAGATTGTGAGGGCAGATCCCTCATGGGATTAAAGCCCTTATAAAATAGGCCCAAAGGCGCTTGGTCATCCCTTCTACTATGCGAGGACACAGCAAGAAGGTGCCTTCTGTGAGGAATGGGCCCTCACTAGACACGGAATCTGCTGGTGCTTTGATCTTGGACTTTTCAGTCGCCAGAAGTGTGAGAAGTAGATGTTTATAAGCTACCCAGCTTTATGGTATTTTTGTTATAGCAAGCTGAATAGACTAAGATATACCTTTTGGGGTTGTTGTGAAAATTAAGTAAGTTAATTCATGTAAATTACTGAGAACATTACTTACACATGGTAAGGGTTATAAAAATGTTATAGAACTTTATAATTGTAACCTACAATATGCAGGCAAACTAGATATTTTTATTGCTTTTTCTAGCCGAGAAAACTGAAGCCCAAAGGGCTAAGTGACTTTCCTAAGGTCATATTTCAGTAAGTGGTAGATGAGAAAAATCCAACCTGGATTTGATTTCAAAATTCATAGCTTTTGTACTACTGTGTGCTATCTCTGTATTTATCTTTCTGGCAAGGAGAGAAAGTTGGTAATATGACTATACATTACTATGTACTATATATATTATACGTGGTTCTAAGAGGTGAGGATGATTTTAGTGGGTAGTTGTGGAATCAATTCCTGCACTTTAGAGTCACATCTCGTACACAAAGCAAATAAAACAACCTCACTCTATACGAAGATTGAGTTGTCATAAATTTGGGGTCACCCTGGCTTTTCGCATTTTCTGACTAATCTCATCCCAGGATGATTCTGACAAGCCCAGGATTATCCATTATATTTGGTTGTGCTCTTGCATCTCACCCAGAGTCGTTTTCCAACACCTAATTCCATTTAATCAACACAACCGTCTTTAAAATGAGAGCACTTTGCAATCTGAAACGCACAAGGACCTGTCATGAAGCAATTATGAATATTAAGTGCATTACCCTATAAGAATGAGAAGAGCAACTTGAAAAGTTTTAAAATCGGATCATGATTTGAAAGCTTATGGCTCCTGCGATTTTTCCCAAGGTATTCGTAAATCTTTCAATTAGATGTGAGTATGAACTTCATAGCACTTCATATCTATAAATCATAAATTGATTCAGAATACGAGATATACTTAAAAAACACTTTGCTCTTGAGGCAACTAAAACAAGAATATAAAAAAAAAAAACCGATGCCACAGATAAGGACAAAACAACAATTGTTTAAAAAGTACACATAGGCTTAAATATTTTGTCTCCAGATTGCACATTCAAGGAAGAAAATTCTTACTCAAAATAAGTTCATGTTAGGCCGGGCGCGGTGGCTCACGCCTGTAATCCTAACTCTCTGGGAGGCCGAGGTGGGCGGATTGT